CTGACATAGCGTGACACTATTGTGGTTGTTTCCTAAATACACTACTACACACATTCCTTTCGTTCTACATTCACTCGCATTTGTGTTAACCGCAGTCTCAATCAAATACCATTTACCTTTACAGACGATAATTGGAATATACCATATATACTACTGGATCATACCATTGGGGAATCCATCACACTTACTGGAATTATTAACCATCTATAATTGTGGATATTTAATACCAGATCAATTTGGAACACGCACTCTGCTGGTGAAATAAGTAACGTTCCTTATTTCTATTGTGTTTATGACATTTAACTTATATATATAAATATCATTATTTGTTATTAATAACTCTGTCATTACCTTTTGGGTTAATATATTGTCTGGTCCACCACAATTATTTGGTGAGCCTCTTGTTTATCCTCAGTGTTATATTGTTTACCATTTCACACGTTATACTGGTTTATTTTGCTCATAATGTCATCTCCCACTAAACTTATCGATATTGATTCCCCTCCAGTAACAACTATTGTCTCATTACCTAACTCTACTGAAAACATTTTAAATTCAGTTAATACTGTCTCAGAATTCAGACTCCCAACTTATGGAGCTAATAACCCAAGAATCTAGTTCGCCCAAATTGAAGCTTTATTCATGGCTCGAAGCATAAGATCCCAGGCAACAAAGTATGCGTATGTGGTCGGCGCACTTCCTATTGAGATTGCCACTGAAGTAGGAGATTTAATCGACCACGTGCCAGAATCAGAACCATATGATAAGATAAAGGCCGCCGTAATGCAACGCACATCAGTATCAGATGAGAAAAGGCTTCAGGAACTTCTAACAGCATGCGAATTGGGTGACAGGAAGCCATCACAATTATTACGGCATATGAAACAACTAGCGGGCCCGTATAAACTAGACGAGGCCTTACTGAAACAAATGTGGTTTCAACGACTGCCACATAATGTTAGACAAATCCTTAGTGTGTCCGGAAACTCCGTCAACCTAGACGATCTGGCAGATATGGCAGATAAAATGACGGAAGTTTATCATGACAGCCACCAAATTAATGAAGTGCAACCACTGAGAACAGTAGACACCAGTTGTTTAGTCTCTTTTGAAAGACAACTAGCACACTTGACAAGTCAACTACAATCACTGCAAGCTTCTATCGCAACGATTAAATCGCACCACACCAGACCAACACCCACACAAAGATCCAGGTCTAGGCATCGCTCACGGTCACCCAAGCAGACGGCTGGTATTTGTTGATATCATACGAGGTATGGTAGAAAGGCACGTCGTTGCACACAACCGTGCAACTTCTCAACAAACAGCCTCGAAAATCAGGGAAACGGGCCGGCCAGACAGTGATGGCGGCAACTGTTTCTGGCCACTCAACAAGCCGTCTATTTCATGTCAAGGATCGAATTTCGGGCTCAGATTTTTTGGTCGATACAGGAGCCGAAATCAGCATTATCCCATTACACCTCTCTAAACGATGGCACTCTCAAAGCACCAAATTATCCCTAGTCGCGGCCAATAACACAATCATTAAAACTTACGGAGAACAATCACTTATCCTAGATCTCGGTCTCCGCAGACGTTTCACGTGGGTTTTCATAGTAGCTGAAGTTAAGCAACCCATTCTCGGAGCTGACTTCCTAGGAGCTTACAACTTACTCGTAGATATGGGAAAAAGGAAACTAATCGACAAGAATACAACCTTACAGGTCTGCGGCCCAACCATCTCCAATTACGAGATTTACGGAGTCCGAATGTTAAGACCTGAGAATAAGATTTTCATTGATATCCTGTCGAGATACCAAAGTATAACCAGAACCGACTACCTAAGCGAAAGCCCCACTCATCATGTCCAACACACTATCACCACTACAGAACCACCCACTCGCGCTAGAGCAAGACAACTACCCCCACACAATTTGCAATTTGGCGATTGTTTCCAAATCAATATCTTGCTTACGTATCAGCATATTTATATCCTTTCGTGAGTAACACAATGTTTTTTGATCAGTCATTAAAGTGAATGTTTGCCCTTGAAGTAAGAAGTTGAAGTGTTTAACGGCAAAATAAATGGTTAGTAACTCCCGTCCGAAAGTACTGTAACGCTCCTGAGCTAGTGACAGTCTCTTGGAGAAGAACACTACGGGAGTAGTCGTGTTGTTGCAATATTGCCCCGACGGCTTTTTGTGACGCATCTGTGCACAGAATCAGATGGGTTGTGGGGTCAGTATATAGATGTTGTAGCATGGTGGCGTTGGCTATCATGAACTTGGCTTTTTCAAATGCTATTTTGGCGTCAGGAGGTAGCTTGAATGTTTGATTCATTTGCTTCTTCGTACTTTTGTTTTCGCTTCTCAGCAAATCCGTTAGCGGCTGTAACACGTCTGCGCAACATGGTACGAATCTGCGATAGAAATTGCACGTTCCGAGGAAACGGCGTAGTGACTTTATCGACTTGGGCTGAGGGAAATTGACTATAGCTTTGACTTTCTCTTCAAGAGGTTTAATTCCTTGAGAATCAATGTGATGTCCCAGAAATTCAATAGTTGAGGCTCCGAATATACACTTCGAAGGATTGATAACTACACCATGCCTTTTAAAGCGTTCGAAGAGAGTTTGAAGTGCTGAATGTGCTCTTCGAGCGATGAGCTGGCAATCAAAACGTCATCAATATAGACAAATACAAAATCTAATCCTCGAGTGACTTCGTCCATGAACCTCTGGAACGTTTGGGCGGCGTTTTTTACTCCGAATAGCATCCTCAAAAATTCAAACAGGCCAAAAGGACTAATTATTGCTGTTTTTTCAATGTCTTCGGGCGCCATTGGAATTTGGTGATAAGCTTTTAATAAATCGAGCTTCGAAAAAATTTGTTTTCCATGTAGGTTTAAAGAGAAGTCGTGTAGATGTGGTATGGGGTACTTATCTTGGATAGTTTGATTATTTAATCGTCGGTAGTCTCCGCATGGTCGCCAATCTTGATCCTTCTTTGGAACCATGTGCAGAGGCGAAGCCCATGGACTATTCGATTGTCTGATTATGCCAAGTTGCATCATATGTTCGAATTCTCTCTTCGCGAACTAAAACATGTGTGGGGGTAGTCGTCTTGCTCTAGCGCGAGTGGGTGGTTCTGTAGTGGTGATAGTGTGTTGGACATGATGAGTGGGGCTTTCGCTTAGGTAGTCGGTTCTGGTTATACTTTGGTATCTCGACAGGATATCAATGAAAATCTTATTCTCAGGTCTTAACATTCGGACTCCGTAAATCTCGTAATTGGAGATGGTTGGGCCGCAGACCTGTAAGGTTGTATTCTTGTCGATTAGTTTCCTTTTTCCCATATCTACGAGTAAGTTGTAAGCTCCTAGGAAGTCAGCTCCGAGAATGGGTTGCTTAACTTCAGCTACTATGAAAACCCACGTGAAACGTCTGCGGAGACCGAGATCTAGGATAAGTGATTGTTCTCCGTAAGTTTTAATGATTGTGTTATTGGCCGCGACTAGGGATAATTTGGTGCTTTGAGAGTGCCGTCGTTTAGAGAGGTGTAATGGGATAATGCTGATTTCGGCTCCTGTATCGACCAAAAAATCTGAGCCCGAAATTCGATCCTTGACATGAAATAGACGGCTTGTTGAGTGGCCAGAAACAGTTGCCGCCATCACTGTCTGGCCGGCCCGTTTCCCTGATTTTCGAGGCTGTTTGTTGAGAAGTTGCACGGTTGTGTGCAACGACGTGCCTTTCTACCATACCTCGTATGATATCAACAAATACCAGCCGTCTGCTTGGGTGACCGTGAGCGATGCCTAGACCTGGATCTTTGTGTGGGTGTTGGTCTGGTGTGGTGCGATTTAATCGTTGCGATAGAAGCTTGCAGTGATTGTAGTTGACTTGTCAAGTGTGCTAGTTGTCTTTCAAAAGAGACTAAACAACTGGTGTCTACTGTTCTCAGTGGTTGCACTTCATTAATTTGGTGGCTGTCATGATAAACTTCCGTCATTTTATCTGCCATATCTGCCAGATCGTCTAGGTTGACGGAGTTTCCGGACACACTAAGGATTTGTCTAACATTATGTGGCAGTCGTTGAAACCACATTTGTTTCAGTAAGGCCTCGTCTAGTTTATACGGGCCCGCTAGTTGTTTCATATGCCGTAATAATTGTGATGGCTTCCTGTCACCCAATTCGCATGCTGTTAGAAGTTCCTGAAGCCTTTTCTCATCTGATACTGATGTGCGTTGCATTACGGCGGCCTTTATCTTATCATATGGTTCTGATTCTGGCACGTGGTCGATTAAATCTCCTACTTCAGTGGCAATCTCAATAGGAAGTGCGCCGACCACATACGCATACTTTGTTGCCTGGGATCTTATGCTTCGAGCCATGAATAAAGCTTCAATTTGGGCGAACCAGATTCTTGGGTTATTAGATCCATATGTTGGTAGTCTGAATTCTGAAACAGTATTAACTGAATTTAAAATGTTTTCAGTAGAGTTAGGTAATGAGACAATAGTTGTTACAGGAGGGGAATCAATATCGATAAGTTTAGTGGAAGATGACATTATGAGAAAAATAAACAAGTACAGCATGTGAAATGGTTAACAATATAACACTGAGGACAGACAAGAGGCTCACCAAATAATTGTGATGGACCAGACAATATATTAACCCAAAAGGTAATGATAGAGTTATTAATAACAAATAATAATATTTATATATATAAGTTAAATGTCATAAACACAATAGAAATTAGGAACGTTACTTAGTTTACCAGAAGAGTGCGTGTTCCAAATTGATCTAGTGTTAAATATCCACAATTATAGATGATTAATAATTCCAGTAAGTGTGATGGATTCCCCAATGGTATGATCCAGTAGTATATATGGTATATTCCAATTATCGTCTGTAAAGGTAAATGGTATTTGATTGAGACTGCGGTTAACACAAATGCGAGTGAATGTAGAACGAAAGGAATGTGTGTAGTAGTGTATTTAGGAAACAACCACAATAGTGTCACGCTATGTCAGTATTACAACGGAAAAAGTGATCAAGGTCATTTACTAAAACAACAGGTACAATGATTTAATAATAAATGTACAAACAGTAAAAAAGATTGAAAAATAAATACAAATAATATTAAAAATTATTTACAAAATATGTTTGACAGACTTATCAACATTGCGATTTGCAGTGCTCAACACTCGTCAGATTATGGTCAATCGAAGATATGTAGTTGGAGTAATGTTATCATAATAATCGTTCTGAAAATGATTTGGCGCGCAAATAAACTGCGAAATGATTGTATCCAGTACTTTAAAATGAAGTATTGTAATTTATTTAGATTAAAGCTTAAATGATAAAAATAGTTTGATACCCGAAGTTGACTATGCTTAGTCGTGTCAGCTTAATTAGAACATACTCTTTTTAGTGTCATGCATCAAGGAGTTGAAACTTTCAGTAATATTAGTTTGAAGATCTATGTAATGAAGACTTGAGTAATATTTATTCAAGTTTATTTGTTTAGCCTTCAAACTTTGAAAACCTTTATCCTTGTTAAATAGCATACGTTATTTTTTAGACCTTTGTTGTTACCGACGAAAGTGAAGTTAGACACACAGGATTGAACTAGTTCAGAACAAGTTGCATTACGTAATAGAATCCATCAATGCAGATAACTCAACAGAACTAGATGAGACATAAAAAGTTGGAACAAAAGACTCTATATAATTAAAGTTAATGAACAGTTCAAATCATTATTATTATTATATTACACAAATGTTTATCGCAAAATATAACATAAGTACAACAAAACTCTGAACGTAAAGAAATCAGACAACAAGATTGCGTTCATACAAATGCATTTACGACCACAAGAATAAAACGATGCATAAAAATTGGGAATAATAAGACATGAGATTGATAAAGTTTGATATAAAATATGATTGAAAGAAGGATTTCACTGTGAAGTAAAATATATCACAATAAATATCACAGCTACAACAGTGAACAACATTGATTAATAAAAGTAATTTTTATTATTTCATATCTGAGTTTTCGGAACATTGTTTTGTGGAGAAATTGATTCGCCATTGGAACCTGTGGTTTCAAGTGGTAATATTGGAGAACTAATTGATATGGGATTTGAAACAACTGATTTAAGAGCATCTGAGAATTTCCAAACAAAACTTGATGGCGAGGATGAACGAAATGTCGAGTTGAAATCACCTAGTAATTAGAGGAAATAAACCTGGTTGATTGTGTAAGGAACCAATATCATAATGAAAGTGTATGATAAGGAAATTCTAACCGCCCCCAAATGCCCTGGTACGGCCGAGAGTGGGGCGAGTCCGCTCACCCTCTCCAAATGCTCTCGCATGGCCACACGTATATAGCCTCTATCAGGGAAGTCCTACTCACTGCCTTCTCGTGGCGAGGGTGTCGTTCACGACAATGAGAGGACGAAAAGCGGATGTCCGGCGCTTTAACCGGATCTCAAACAAATGGTGCACATGGGCCCCAGTTTTCTGTGGGAACAAATGGCGTATGAACTAATCGTTGGTAACCGGCTATCACGGGACTGCATCTCCTTACGATGCTCCACTGCCTTATGGACCAGACCTTTGGGTCGAAGTCTCCGGGTGTGGCCCCCTAAGAAAACCACCTGCTTCGGTTTGGGCACCCAGGCAGTATCATAGCCCTCACACAAATCAAATGAAATTTTTGTGGCGCATATGTATTTGGTGCCTCCTTGTACCGATATCTATGTGTTCAAATAAAATAAAATAATTTTAACCACCTGTATAGAAAATTGATACAATAAGTGAACAGGTAAACATAAAACTAGGTGTCTGAAGACAGTTTGCACCATTCACTTAAGAATGTTTTCCCCGAAAATAACGAAACGTGTATTTTTTTAAACTTTATTTTGGTTTCTGATAATTGTAAGGTAGAGAAGCCATCCAACTTTGATAGTCTTGAAAACTGCTTTTAAAGTCTTACATCAACTTTTAAAGATCATTGTCGTGACACAATGGTTAACGTGTGAGCAGCACAGCTACATAGGAAGAGAAATCAAATATTGAGCGAACATACAATACTTGTATACTCAAAGACGGACGGAACGACTTCGATGGGCCAATGGTCTATGTATTCATGACTTCTTGCACACGCTTGGATTACCATATAACTTGGAGACGTCATAATACTTGTCTGATTTTCCTAGGATATCGGTGCACAAAGGACGAATTATCCACTTTATTCATTTACGCTCTGATGTAAACTGTGAGAACTAGGTCAATCAGCGGAAAAGAACGAGTTGTCCGGATTTTTATTTGTACTTAAGACTAAGTCATAGGACTCAAGAATTCTACTAAGTGACTACAAATTTAACCATTAATTTTTAAATCATTCATCAATGTGTACAATTTTAAAACCAGTTTGAATGAAATTGGTATATATCGAATTGTAGGCTGTCTTCATTCAACGTTTTAGTACTGCAGAAATTTCTAGGTGATTTTAAATCGGATTACAAGTGTTATGATATACTTCATTCGATTTCAATTTAATGCAGACTACTAGTGGTTATAAACTGTCTTCCAAAATGTTTAATTATATAGTTAATTTAGATGCGTTTAAGTAGAATATCTAGACAATGAAATATATTATTTCCCAATTTGAAAACCAGACCATTAGAATTACGATGGCGAAATCCATAAAAATCAGGTGCACGACCTAAAGACATAGGAAGAATAAGTTATATAACATATGGTTCCAGAATTTTACACCCGAAAGGAAATAAGATTTCTAGGCTAAATTATTTGTTAATCGTAAATCTGAAAATCAAGAGCACAAAAATGAATGCATCTGTCCATAGTATACTTAAAAACAAGTAGAGACAGCCATAACTTTTTTATGAGAGTTCCTCCCTCTTTTAGCGATAAACAGTCCAAGAGAGTCTATTCGAACATGCTTGAATGGGTATTTATACTTCAGTGAATTACAGCTCACGATAGCTGACATTCTCGGTTGCTACATGCAAGTGTTTCTCGTACATTTAATAAACTTAATAACCCCCTTTCTTACCATTGACCGCCATTTGCAAACCCAGTATTTAGTTCTCATACTAGCTGATAATCGCATTGGTCCTATGTGAAATTCAACAGCGTAGTAGTGTAGAATTATTTAAGATGGGACTGGGCGATTGTTCGGTAGGATGGCGGGGTGCATCCTTTTTGAATTCACATTATGGGGACAAAAACATCCATCTACTACCAAAAAGTTTAATAATTCCACATGTTTTTTGAGATCTATGTATTACGGGCTATTTCCCGTTTTCATATTTTCTCAGTTTTCTTACTGAGTGGTCTTTACAGCAGTTCTTTCTAGATAAAATTACTCACTTGTTATCTTCATTAAGACTGAGAATTCAAGAATTTTTTCATACATACTTTCCACTCTGTCTCTTTGAACAACATTACTAGTGTTTAGTCTAAATTATCATCACTACCACTACATTATTTAAATTGCTTTTGTTATTTATTGTGCTATTATCGTCTTGTCGAGCTAATGATTTATGGAAACTTGGGATAAAATATATCTTCGTCATGATATACGTTGACAATGACTGACTGTATTTATTTATAATTTAACTTTGATTGCAACCAGTGACTAAGCGAAAAATTTCGAAAAACACTAAATACTTACTACCGAATTTCACAAGACCAGCAACACTTTGACTGACAAGTCTCCGACCTTGATCAGCAGCCATGTTGCTCAACCTATGTAATGAGAAATTGAAATGAATTTAAAAATATAGTTTATAATTCGAAGTTATGTGAAGTTTTAACTAAGAAAGTGATAACAAAACTTTTTAACCCATTTCTGATCCTCGAAAAGATAATACCGAATGGTAGGTAAATTGTTTCGTTGAACAGAAGAGTTTCAATGCTTGTGTATCAAGTAGTTAGTTATTTACTATCAATTTGGGTAAGAATATTATGGAGAAACATTAGAAAATAGAGAGAAATATACAGCGATTTACTTTTGTCTGCAGTTTCAGTAAGCTCATTGATGTGAAATTTACACAGTTCGTTAACTAAATATAAGTAATATAACTACTTACGACCGATGAAGTCATATATAATCCAAGGCAATCAAATGTGAAGATAATAGGGAAATAAAACTATTTGGCGTATTTCATATATACCAACCTATTTCACGAATTTAGGTAATAAAAGGTTAAAATGAGAAGACACATATTAATATACAAGAAATGGAATGTGGCTAGGGATGGAACCCACATTCCAACTATTCTATATTAACTTGGGTCATAATGGCTAAATTCAGGTAATCCGTACAGAATACTCAAATGCGAACCAAAGTTGATCAAATTTCAGTCAAAATATTAACAACGGGATAATCCAAGTTATTTCAAAATAAGTCGCAAAGACATGTTCTATACACTAAGTGGACCCTTTATGTTCATAAATTTCTCTTTGTAATATAAGTCTGAAAAAAATGACAACTTGCCTAATTAAAGTATGCTCACCTTAACTCAAGCAGCTGAAACGCAGGGGGTTAGGTCTACTTCCCAGGAGGGAGAGGTAATAGACTGAGCAAGATTAAACATACCATGCGCTTGTGTTCATATGCCATCTCAAGGCCAAGCGCCTGATAAGAGATAGCAAAGGTAATACACAATTGGAAGAAGTTTATATTAATGGTCGGTATCCATTTTTGTTCAGTTGCCGATTTCTATTCTACTCACTCTCATAAAAGACTGAACTGAAGTATAGGAGGAGCGTATCTTTTTATCTGAATGGACGACCACAGAATGTGACATTACTCGTTTTGCTAGTCGTTTTTTCACTATCGTTTATAATTTATATGGAAGTGTTATATCAAAGAATACCATCAAGTTATGGATTTGAACTGATCAAAATTAAATTTGAGTTAATTTTAACTATAATCAGATTTCCATAACAGTGTTTAATATATGCGCACTATTCGAAAATATTGCTGAATGACCTCCAAAATGCATATCAACATTAAGATTTCATTTGATAAAATGTTTAAATGATAGATATAGGGCAGACAAACTTTTTAAAACTACCAGCAATTTGATTCCAATCATCAGGTTCTGCAAGTTTACGTCCAGGATGTTGCGAGACTACAGCGGCAACAGAGTCTGGTGAAGTTGTACATGAGTCCTGCAACTGTGAATTCTGAAACAAAACAAAAAAACCAAAACCAAAATTTATTGAAATGTTGGGAGACTTTATTATTGCAATGCCCATAGATAATTATGAATTTATGTTAACTATATTATAACTTTCTAGATTTTGTTTGTTTATTTGGTTACATGTTCGGATATACAACAGCCCAATAACTGAAATACCGAAATATTTGTTTCAGTTTTAAACCTTTTTAAACTATAGAAATTCTTCTATTTAACTTTATCGAATATGATGTTGGTATATTGGAAAATAAATGAGTGTAGTGTTTGAGTTTCAATTTTAATCAAATCTGCGTACTACAATCAATTACGTTTAAAAAGAAGTTTTTTTATATTTTCCAACTAAAATTTGTATCAAGTGTCACTCAGAGAAGGAACCAACTTGACCGAGTTATGGATACTTCATCATAACTTATTGAACTATGGAGTTCGGTAGTGAAAACAGTAATGAATACCCATTAATATTAATATGATGCTAAAAACTAGGTGATGAATGTAGAAAGATTCATCTGACACAGGTGCATTATCATTAGTTTAATAAATGATTATTCAGTAACATTACGTATCGTTTAAAATGTAAGGAAGGAAGAAGACAGATCTATTACAATGATTGATAGATAAGACCACATCATTTAACAAATAGTTTGTCATCTACAATTCATAATTAGAATAGCAATATTGATAACGACTAAGAAATGTAAGCTGAATTTGAAAAAAAACGACCTATTCAGTACATTCGTAAATGCATAATCCATATAAAGCTAATTTGTTTATTTTAATGAGAATGACATAAAATCATTCGCTATCGGTTGAAAAACTGGTGAATATCTGGTTCGAACCTAATGAGCATTGAATACAATATTTATTATGATTATCTTCATTCAATTTACGAAAACTTTCAGCAACCCAAAAGCATTAATAACATATAAAATCCTTAAAGATAAAGTTGGATTCGATTAACAATATGCTATCATACGAAATACTTAACGCCCCCAAATGCCCTGGTATGGCCGAGAGTGGGGGGAGTCCGCTCCCCCTCTCGAAATGCTCTCACATGGCCACGCGTATACAGCCCCTGCCAGGGAAGTCCTACTCACTGCCTTCTCGCACCACGGGTGTTGTTTACGAAAATGAGAGGACGAAAAGCGAATGTCCGGCGCTTTAACCGGATCCCAAACCAATGGTGCACATGGGCTCCAGTATCCTGAAGGAACAAATGGCGTATGAACCAATCGTTGGTCACCGGCTACCATGGGACTGCATCTCCTCACGATGCTCCACTGCCTTGTGGATCAGATCTTCAGGTCAAAGGCTCGGGGTGTGGTCCCCTAAGAAAACCACCTGCTTCGGTTTGGGCACCCGGGCAGTATCATAGCCCTCACACAAATCAAATGAGATCTGTGTGGCGCATATGTATTTGGTGCCTTCTTGTACCGATATCTATGTGTTAAAATAAATAAATAAATAAAAATACTTAATGATCTTACACACACACACACACACAAGGAGTAGTGATTATTTCCAAGCTTAAATATTTTCTCTACATAAAATGATGTTACGTACATACTAAGCAACACAAAATTAAAAAAAAAACAATCCTGAAAATAATTTTGAAATTTGACCAGCTAATGAAAATTAATGCGATCATATAGATTATTAAAGGTAAGCAAATCTACACAAGAAATAACTAAAGTAACATAATCAATACTTTGATTGGATCAGGTTAATAAGATAAAATCATTTTAAGTACTAAAACTATAAAGTTTGCAATATATTCTATCAGAAGACAAAGAAGGTAATATTATACTTGAAAATATTTCAGTCATTAATAAAAAAAAACAATAGAAAGAAATTAAAACCAGCAGAAACATACATATGAATCTCCAGTTGTTTTTAAAATTTCCACATTATCTATTGGTTTGTTGATTAATTTAGTATTAGAATTATTATGATGAATTTGTTCTGGTTTAGAAACAGTAAACAATTGACTTGGAATAAATTGATAACGCCAAATTAAAAAATTTCTTGTTAAACGAAAACAAGTTAAATAGGCTGACTGAAAATCTGATGCATTGGAATCTATAAAGAATTATTATGCAAAATTATAAGTACATTAAATTTAAGTTACTTATAACACAAATTTTGATAATAACAATGATAGTTTTTTTGAAAATATAATGTTTGAGAACATGAGTCAGTTGAAGCTAGATTAACACGGAAAACTTGGAAGCACTGGAAGACCATTTCGTCCTATTGTGGGACTACTCAGAAGTGCGCATACACGACACCGCCTTTCGAGATTAAACCCAGGGCCTATCAGTCTCGCGCGCGATCGCTTATCCACTGAACCAGCCGGCATCCAACGGTGCTAATGTCTAACTTCAACCAATCCACGAAATTGAGCGACACATCCACCATTATCTTCAGTCAGTTACTATCTCACAACAGACCTGGTTTAACTCCACTGGTCACTGCTCATTAGAACTCTAGGATATACCTCTTGAAGCCAGTCACTAGTGAGCATATATTGGCTAGTATCAGAAGGGGATTGATGGAGAGTGTAATAACGTCAGTAGTTGAGATTATGATCACTGATGACAATGGTGAATGTGTCGCTCGATTTCGTGGATTAGTTGAAGTTAGACATTAACACCGTTGGATGCCGGATCAGTGGTCTAAGGTGACCAACTTATCGTGAAGTATCCCTAGACTTGAAAATTAAAGAATTTATTCGTAAACTATGGTAGTAATTATCATTGAAGATAGCCGGAGTAATAAGGAACGTAGATCATGCTGCAGTCATTACATTCGCTGTACAATTAATAGCAAGTTACGAATGTGTTGGGTTATATATAGTTATATTTCCAAATAATATGAAAACTGGAGAAACATAATACGCTTTGGTATTCGATGGAATATAATTATCACAGCTGTGGGTAGTAAATATGCGACATTGACACCTAATCTTATTGACAATGATTATATCACTTTGTGCTTACCAACTGTATAAGAAAAAAACTAGACAATCGTACGCCATTACTAAGATACAATATTAAGGAAAAGAGATACAGTTCTATGAGAATATTGGAAACATTCTTGATTATATCCGATCTGAAAATATTCATGTGGAGTTTAACATTAAGATTGCATAAGTTTCGCGAAAAATACTTAATTAAAGGTTAATATTATCTCGTGAACTTAGAGATTGAAATGATAATTAAGTCAAGAACATACCACTTGATTACTTATACAATTGATTCAAGATTAAAAAAGAAAGAATTTATCTGATAATTTATATCCATAGAATGTAAACTTATAGTAGTAAAAAAAAATTGCAAAGAGACAACTTACTGTAACCTTGAGCAGATAATAATAATGCTCTTAAATAAATTAAAAACTGTTGTCGTATCCAAGCATCTAAAATAGTTTGAGCTAAATGAATAAAACAAAAAAAATTTATAATATATGTAGAGAAATCTACATAACAGTAAAAATATTAATACTTAACAACGTATGTTGTTCTAATTTTTATGATGAGATCCTTGAATATATTTATTTAAATGTTTTGTTTTGTCCTAATTTTGATAATTCATTTTTGGAGAGATGGTTTAGTGATTTATGTGGATAGGGATTTTATTTTAAAAGTAAAGTTTTATATACCGGTTTGTATCTAATAATACTACAGGGCAGTACCTCGAAACTGAAATAACTACAAGTGGCTTCGACCCATGACATACTAGTTGAAGTCGAGTGCTTGAAATACCAAGTAATTGGTTCCCTTTCGATCTTTCCATTTACATTTATTTGACCACTTTGAAGATTAGAATAATTAAGAAGCATATTACTTTACTTATTGACTTAAATTAGGTGTACTCACAATTTAAGACCGTCGTACTTAGTAAAACGATAAATAAAATAAGCTTTTTTATTTTCCCGAATTGATGATTCATCTAAGATTAGTTTTCACTTTGCACGTTTTTTTTCTTGCGATCGGATATTTGTTAGTTAGAAATGTTTTGGAAATAAATACTGTAAATATTGTTGTTTCTGATGAAAAATGTTGATACTTGAATTGGTAATCTAACCTATTTTTACATTAAGCCTTTATAATCCTTTCTCAAATAAAGGATAACAATATGATCGGTGTTAGTTTTAAAGAAATCTACACAAAGTTTGTTGTCAATGAACGGATTTACGGAGTTAACTGGATGTTATTGATATCGCGAAATGACTCACGTTAGAAATCCAATAAAAATCAAGAAGTACTGGATAGCTATTTCTCCATCAACGTGGGATCCCTCAGCAGTGTGCAATCACAATTCCATCGGGATTCGAACCAAGGACCTATGGTCTTATGCTCGAGTACTTAACCTCAAGATCTATGAGCTGGAATCTAGTAGTGCACAAGCTTAGCTTCAACCAACTCGCGATAATGAGCGACCATATTCCACTATCTTTGGTGCGCAACTACCTCATAGGCTACATGTTTGGATTCCGTTGGTTACGGCTTGTCACTAGAATCCTGGAATTACTTACATTTAGTTATTAAAAAGTCATGATAGTTTTCAGTATGGGGAATTGTGGAAGCCATTCATTACTGTAAAATCAATGATTAACTAATTTTTATTTTCAAAATAAAAAAGCATGTGAATCGACAATTAATGTTTTATTAGCTAAAAAATTTGTGTTCGTCACATGATTTCATAGTTTTGATTTCGACTATAAGTTCGTGGGTGCACAGAGATTGACAGCAAAGTCGTGGATGCATACAGCTAGAGAGCTCCACACTATGATAAAACAACTGTCTAGTGTTTCCTGGTTTAGGTGGATCCTTAACTTAGGTCGGTTAGCGACACAAGTCGATAAGAAAGTTTGCTGATGTAAAAATAATTAATTATTTGAACCTCCGTGGAGATTTATTGAAAGTAAAACGGCTTTTCTCACAAACTAATCTGCATAATTGTTGAAAACCAGGTGGCATTGCTAAGATGTTTAGTCCTACTTTAGAATGCCTCAGTAATATATACCCAAAATTCTACATGAGGTCATTTTTACTGTTGAACTATGAGTTTAATCCCACCTAAGATGATAGATCCATACTCCTATCGAGTTAAAAACAAAACAAAGTATTTGTTAGTGCTAATCAGTTTTACAGATGATTTTATTTTCCAAAGAAAATTACTATTAAACATGACCTTTCATATATTATTATTATTTGAACACATAAACATTGTACACCGGGGCACCAAATATATGCGCCACACAAATTTTAATTTTGTTTGTGTGTGGGCTGTGATACTGCCCGGGTGCCCAGACCGAAACATGTGGTTTTCTTAGGGAGCCACAACCCGAGCCTTTGACCTAAAGGTCTGATCCACAAGGCAGTGGAGCATCGTAAGGAGAGGAAGTCCCATGGTAGCCGGTGACCAACGATTGGTTCACAAGCTATTTTTTCCCTCAAGATACTGGAGCCCATATGCAACATTGATTTGGGATCCGGTTAAAGCGCCGAACATTCGCTTTTCGTCCTCTCATTTTTTGTAAACAACACCCCCGCCACGAGAAGGCAGTGAGTAGGACTTCCCTGACAGAGGCTGTATACGCGTGGCCGTGTGTGTTTCGAGAGGGAGGGCCGGCCCACCCCACTCTCGGCTATACCAGGGCATTTAGGAGTGACTTTTCATATCAACTATAACTAAATATTCGTTGAATTATTTTAATCATTTGTTTTAAGTAATTGATCATTCACAGTGTGGTTGGCCCAAAGCGGAAGTTTATCTTAGACACTTCCACAAATTGAATGCATTTACCGGTTTACTTGATATTGTGGAGCAGCTTATATTGGTCGTACAAAGCGTGTAGTTAGTAAACAAATACTCCAGAACTACTATGTATGGCTATATCTAAAAGAGAACGAAAATCGATAAACCGCTCAATCCTTAGCACATGGTCACATGCTACTACGACAATCGATGTTTAAAATCATTAAACTATTTAAACTGTTAATTTATTTCGGTTACTTATTTACTCTGAAGAAGTGGCCTAAATTAGGTTGCGAAACGTCATGAATACAGTTTTTCCACTCATTAGGATATAACAAAAAATATATTTATTATTGGTTTGAATAAGGTTTGGATCAGGAATTTGTGCACACCTGAAACAGCAAAAATTAAACATTGTGAATACATTAAGATACATGTTGTTCTACAAAGTTGCTTGTAAATCATCATTATACGATAGATATATCTGTCTATCTTATTGTATTAAAATGACTATACCTACAAATTGACAAAACATTTTGTTAAGATTTTTTAAATATATACAAATAAAAAGTCGTTGTTGATGAGTGCCAATAAATACGTGGTGATTTCACGTCGATAGTATTTTTTTTAGAAACTTAATTTGCCAAATTAAACGAGAAAATCACACGAACATTGAAATGAACAATTTTAACCTAACTAACAAACTTATATCTTATTAGTTTCATTAGAAGTAATGAAGGCAAATACCTCTAATATTTAGTTCAATGAAGTGTTTGATTAATTTATGAAAGAAACGTGATCAAGTTTATAACAAAACGAGAGATTAAATATATAATAACAATTTAATGATTACCCTTTGATAAATAAAAGAAAGATTTAATTGAATTAAAAATGGTCGCATCTGCTGGGATCATTAGGTAAGAGAGTAATAGTGAGTTTAGGGAATGATGTTAAATCAGTTGATGAGGTTGTCAATCTACGACAACTGAGATGGTTGAGCCACGTATCATGCATTCCCACCTACCGACTATCACGGCACGCAATGCTAACCAGTGTTAGGGATAACTGGAATAAAGTTAGGGGCGGCCAAACCAAAATGTGGCATCAGTGCTTGAAGTCACTAACTTATAGTCTGAGCCATGTTGGCAGATGCAGACTACTTGGTTGGGGTCCGTGCGACTACCGTAACCAGAGGTCAGAGACTCTGAATGACATGGGTCAAAATCGATCACAATGGCGTAGGTGCATACACTCTCTGTCTTCCCTCAAACCGTCAGACTAAAATTACTATATATCTTTTTTTTCTACCGAGTAATTCTTTCTTTCTGTATTATGTTCTTATACGCAATCTTTCTTTTATACATTACTACCATTGAAGTGATTACTTCTATGAATGTGGTGTTCATTTTGTTGTGCTAATGAGGTGTGGCAACTTCAGCCGATGCGTATATGTGCCTGGTCCTTCGTTGTAGCTGACTGACTGACACAAACTAAAAAGCAAATAGTTGAGAGCATTCATATACAACCTTTACACAGATGAATTTCTTTCATATTCTCTTAAATCTCAAGTTCAACACTAAAAATTTGTAGGATGTATTATTTACAACACCGTCTATTTATAATTAATAATTTTGCAAGTGAAAAGGCAGTACAGTTGTAGTGTCGGTTACTATGCTAAACTCACATAAATTATTCTACCTAGCGGACAAGCCAATTAGTTCATTCTTCTTGAGTGACATTTTGACCTTGTCAATTATTCGCTTATCAACCTTGACTTTTTATGTAAGCGTATGTGTGTGCACTTCTTGTCTTACTCATCACATGTCTGTAACTTAACTTTGTCTGACTGTTAATATCGATTCACGCTTGGTTAAATCGAGTTGGTTCATTCACCTTCTACATTGCGCATTATTTCGTTTTGCTTCGTTTTCCGATCAACCATCGTACGAAATATACGTATTCAAAAATCCATTCTCGTATTTGACTTACTTAATCTTCTTATTCACCAACGCAATTTAAGTCGATGATTATATGCGATTGGCGACATGTATATTTCGATAGCAACCAACATACGATCAAATTGGAGTCTAATTTAGAGCTACTTAACAGTCACCCACCAATGTGTACAGATTTGAACCTAGAATATTTTGATTTCTGTCATATTATATTACTTCATAAGGGGCTCGTTTAAAGTGCAGAACATCAGTGAATAAGTGTTTCAATTCGAATGGGATAGTTTGGATTAGCAGATACGATTATCAGAAAACAAAAATATAAGACGTAATATCTCGGTTGATAACAATAAATACTCACACGGAAATCTTAGTAAGGCTGTTTTTTGGATTAATGTGAGCTGTTCCAAAATTTCTGTATCCAATTGGTCTAATCTATGAAAGCTATGGGACGTTACCAATTCACCTTTTTTGGAAGACAATTGTTGACAATAGTCTATTTGTGCACTGTACCATGTATTGACAGTCATTACCAAATGATCAATAAACAATCTATCAGTACGACTTAGTTGCAATGCACGGTTTAGTGGAACAGGCATAGAACGTGAGTTGACAGGATACTTATCAGTAATGTTTACTGAATTTATTTGAATGACTGGTTGTGATCTTTTGGGCTGAGATGAAAATAAAAGCGAATACCACAATTGTATGTAAGAACAATACATAATAATAAAATTGTAAAGATAAGTAAAAATAAGCTTGACCAAAAGTGAGTAAAAATCGTTGAACAAAGAGCTCAGGATGCTATTAAGTTCACTTTGAAGTCTGAGGAATCCTGAGTCAAATTAAAAGATGATATTTCAAAGCGAATTTCTTTTTAATTGTAGAATATGGTAGTGCCTATCGGATAAGTGCTGACGTTTATCAACTATATAACTGAAACCAATACTATTAAGAATGTCTTTCTCATAATGATAGATTAATGTCAAGATCGGAAAACTTATTATGTTGTAGACAAGACTGAGTAAAACAAACAGTATTTTCATGTCAGTGAAATACTATTCAGTCAGTCAGCTGCAACGTAGGACCAGGCACATATATGCATCGCTCCAAGTTGCCATACCGCATTAGCACAACAAGATGAACACCGGATTCATAGAAGTAGTTAATTCAGTGGTGGTAATATATAGAAGAAAGAGTGTGTATAAGGAGATAGTAAAGGAAGAAAGAATAAGTTCCTAGACAGATATGAAGCGATTTTAATCTCTTAATTTAGGGAAGACAGAGAGTGTATACACCGACGCCATTGTGATCGATTCTGAGCCATGTCACCAAGAGTCTCCAACCATTGGTTACGATAGTCACGCGGACCCCAACCAGGCAGTCTGAATCTCCCAACATGGCTCAGACCAGAAGTTAGTGACTTCAAGCACTGATGCCACGTTTTGGTTTGGCCGCCCCTAACTTTCTTCCAATCATCCCTAACACCGGTTAGCATTGCGCGCCGTGGTAATCGGTGTTCAGGCACACGCAGAACGTGGCCCAACCACCTCAGTCGATGAAGATTCATAACCTCATCAACTGATTTACCATCATTCTCTAATACCCTGCGTCTAACCTCACTATTACTTACCCGGTGATCCCAGCAGATACCAGCAATATTTCTAAGGCACCTGTGGTCAAATACTAGTAACTTATGAATATCTTCTACTCTTAAAGGCCACGTTTCGCAGTCATAAAGTAGAACAGAACAAACTGCTGCGCAGTACACCCGTCCGTTAATTGATAGACGGATATCTCGTCTTCGCCACAGGTGGTGATGTGAGTTAGAAAAAGCCAAACGAGCTTTCTGAATCCGTGCAAAGATTTCGTCAGAAATCAATCCATTAGTGCTGATCAGACTTCCGAGATAAGTGAAGTTGTCAACGCGTTCGACTACTTCACGCCCTATCCTTAGTTCAGGTGTTGACGCAGACCAGTCCTGAAGCAACAACTTGCATTCAGAGGGAGAGAAACGCATCCCAAACATTCTGGCATTGTTGCTCAGTGCTACCAAAAGACTCTGCATTTCATCAGCGTCTTCACCAAACAGGACTATGTCATCTGCGTATTCTAAGCCAATAAGCGGACCTCCTGGTAGGAGATCAATACCTGAGAATTCAGTCGATGAGAGCGTTATTTCCATCAGTAGATCTATGACGAAGTTGAACAAAAATGGAGAAAGTGGACAGCCTTGGCGGACGCCACTTGAGGTTGCGAAAGCAGATGACAGTTCGCCATAAGCTCTGACTCGACTAGTAGTGTTCGAGTAAAGAGCCTTCACAAGGTTTATGTACTTCTGAGGTACGCCTTTCAATGAAAGACGCTGCCACAGAACCTCTCGGTCAACAGAGTCAAACGCTGCTTTTAAGTCAAGGAATACCACCATTGTCGGACGCCGATAAGTATGCCTCTGTTCTAGAACCTGACGAATGGTGAATATGTGGTCGATGCAGCCACGACCAGGTCTGAAGCCAGCCTGATTTTCACGTGTTTGCAGCTCACGAGTTTTAGTTAGGCGTCCGAAAATTATCGAAGCTAGTATTTTAGACATTATATTAGTTAAACTAATCCCTCTGTGGTTGTCACAGGATGATTTTGACCCTTTCTTAAATATTGGGACGATAAGTGATTGTGACCAGTTAGATGGGATAACGTCTAACTCCCAGATTTTAGCTAAAATATTAGTCAACCTAATCGCTAAAACTAGACCACCATCCTTAAAGTCCTCTGGGGTCAATCCATCTGGACTAGCTGCCCTTCCTCGTTTCAGATTAGCTATAGCCTTTTGAACTTCAGCTAGAGTTGGGGGACCTACTTCAATGTTCCATTCATACTGTCTGGGAATAGAGGGTAGTTGTAGAGTAGCTGAAGGCCAGCTAAACTGCTCCCTAAAGTGTTCCGCCCATCGTTCTAAGCGTCTGGACTGGGAGCAGATGAGTGTCGTCTTTTTCCGAAATAGTCTGACTTACACTTGATTTATTAATTCCAGTTTCTTTTATTAGTCTGTAGAGTTGTCTTGTGTTCCCTATAGCCGCCGCCTTTTCCATCTCTTTTGCTTTCGTTGCCCACCACTGCTCACGATCATTCTTTAGACTTTTGCATAACCTAGATCTGGTTTCTTTACGCTCTTCATCGTGTTCAGAACCTGATGGAATGTGTTTGCGAGAATCCATCAGTGCAATAGACCTTGAAGAAATCCATTGTTTCTCTGTAACCCTGTGGTTTAAATCACTGGTAGACGTCACTGCTGTTTCTACAGCTGCTTGTATGTCTTTCCAATAAACATCGGGGTCAGCCTCGTTTTCAGAACTACCTAAGTGTGACCTCAGTTGTTCTTGGAACCTACTTTTGGTTTTCTCGTAACTCAGTTCAGTTCTAATGGGTCTTTTTAATGTGGCTTTTTTGCGTCCAGTGAGGCGCAAGCAGATGCGTGCTCGTATTAGGGTATGGTCGGAGTCCAAACAGGTACTCCAGAATGAGCGACAATCTTCTATAGACCCTCTCCAACGATGACTGATAGCAATATGGTTTATTTGAGTCCATCGTTGGTTTGGTGCAGGGGGTCGCCATGTTAGACGATGTGTTAGCTCCGTACTTGTTGAGACCTTACCGCCGGAGACGAATATCCGTGGAATAAGGCGAGATGTGCATTTTTAGGGTCGACTATTGGAAATATATAACTATTACTTAAGTAGTAAGTCATGGGACAACTATTCTGATGGATGAAAGTGTGTGAATCTCCAACTAAGCATTAAAAAAGAACACTTTATTTCAATTATATACAAACAGAAACAAGACATAAATCTATCGAGAACTGGTTACTTACCATAGAAAATGGTCGTGAAGAATTTGAAACTTTGGATCCAGTGTTTTGTGTATTCTTTTCACTATCGACATTAATGGAAAAAGAAGTTTTCGTTGAATTTTCAGACAGTGAAAGACTCGACATAGAATCTGTTTCTATTCCAAAGACCGATTTTCCAAATGCACCGGTTAGTTCAGACAAATGTGGGAAGTAGTTTTCACAAATATCCTTAACAGGCGATAAGGATGACACAAAAACCTCAGTTAGTTGTTTGTTTGATTGTAATAAGGGATTGGTTGCACCAGCAACAAAACCACGTACTGATCGGTCGGTTAAAGTCAGACTCTGATTTCCAGATGATGGTAAATTAATACTTGATCTGAATGACATAGGAAGACTAGAATGTTCTAGTAGTATATCCATTAAAGCAAGGGGAATATACATAGGCGCTAAATAAGACTGTAGAAAAACAAGAGGTAAAATTCGACCAACATTCTGTATGATATGTTATAAATTTCATGCGTTACAGACGGCATGTTGGACACATTAAATATAAATAAAGTAAGAACAAATATTGATGCAGAATAGTATGAATTTATTTTATTTCGAGGTCATTCCAATTGCTTACATTCACTTATGTCAATTGTTTCATACCTATATCTTATCTCAGTGAAAAATTCTAATACATATTTGGTTGTAAGCAGCTGACGAGAAACCTCGAAATAAAATGAATTCATACTATTCTGCATCAATATTTGTTCTTGCTTTATTTAAATTCATAAAGTGAACACATTAAATATGTTGACAAAACTAACCACCGATGATTGATTCTAAATTTTATACAAATAAAATTTTACAAAGTTTACGTACAGATCATAAAGTCTGAATGTCTGAATTTACTGCCCAGTTGAAAGCGTTATTTGTATCTGGTAACTGACAGAAATTGTTACAAATAAATTGAGACAACAGTAGTGAGACGGTTGAAGTCGATATGAACCGGTAGCTCAGTTACTAAAGGGTTCGACTTTGAAATACTGTAGTCAAAGACTCAAACCCTATCCCACTAACCTGGTTTGGTTACTAGCTCAACTTCATCAGTCATCACACAAAGACAATGTGCAAAGACGGGTATGCGAAACTTTGTAGGATAAATAAGTGACAGTATATGAGAGGAGTTAATGAAAGAATCTATGAGAATGATGTCATGCTAATTAGACGTAATTTGAATGTTGGCTCCTGTCACACTTCACAAATCGTACAAAACGTATAGCTAACATGTGAAAAGTACGTCGGTTTCTGTTGCTGAAAACAGAGAACTTCATTTTTAAATGAATATTGATGACTACATAAAATGCATTCAGTTTGGAATTTTCATTTTCAGCGTGTTTAACTACTGACTTATTCAAGTAGAAAATAAACATACAATAATCTGAAAATCTAAAATGTTACCATCAGATAAATATCAATTGAACCAACAAGGAGGAACTAGTTATAACTAAAATTCCTACATGATTTAACTTAAAATCTAATTCAGTTGACGAGAGCTGTTCATTTTATATACTTGGACAGTTAAATAATTGCATATATTTCATGTGTTGGATGTCATTGAATTTATAAAATGTTTGCCAAAATTCAAAGAGGCTCCAGTTGAACATGGTGCTTCACGATCTGATACTCCAGATTACTTGATATAGAGCTGAGCAAGTTTAGAAGAGATCTCCTAAAAATTGAAAAAATTTCCTAATAAACGCCAACAAACATATTTGTTTCCACAAATGATACGGATAAAGGTTTACTTTTATTAGATTATATCCCTGGTATTACATTTGATGTTGATTCAAAACTGAAACATTAAAAAAATACACTAAGGAAACAAGCTTTATGCTATTTTATGCAAAAAATAATTGTTATTTAACTATAGAAAAAAATGAGCTACTATGGGAGTCAGGTAACTTGAAGACAAAACATATGATTGAAGAATTATTCAAGCATAATCTAAGTCTAACGGTATACTGAATTACAGAAAATGATTCAAGTCATAGAACTGAATAACAAAAAACTCACTTTCGTAAATACAGATAAAGGAAATCCCCAATCATCAGTAGGAAATGGTGAATTTAACGGAAATTTGAACATTGAATCTTCAGTTGTTTTCTCCAGAAAATTGTTGGTTTGATATTTTATATATGACTCATTTATTACAGGTTGTTTTGATTCCGTATGTAATGTATCGGGTACGGTTATTATATGAGTTCTTCGTGGATCAAGATTATTGGCTGAAACCAAAAATGGAATGAGTATTTACAAAATGCTGATTGGTAGATAAAGTTGTCAATTCGACCATGAATTTAGCATAGAGCTTCTTAAAACGGTTTTCACTTTGGTGAATCTTTATAAATAACTTATATACGCATATAAACCTTCAGATGATACAATAAAAAGAAATTAGCAGTCAGTCATAAGCAACGTCAAACCTTGAACATATGTGTATCATCACTATATGAGCACATAGAGCTAAAATTCTCAAGATGAACGTCATAGCGGTAGACATAGTAACAGCATTAATGTGAGTAGTAAACATTAAAAACAAACAATATGATTTGAGAATAAAAAATGTAGGATAATTTAACACTTGAGAGCTAATAAAAGACAATGAGTGAACGAATCTGTTTCACTACGACTGATCCTCAAATATATCACGTCTCCAACCATTCATTACAACAATCACGTAGACACCGACCTCATATTCTGCACCTACCGAAACTGCTATAAGTAGATACCATAGAAAATATGATATAAAATAGCTTATACGATATAGATGAGTATTCGGTTGTTTACATATGAAAATAACACATATCTGATGTCATTTTTAACAAAAGCTATAAAATGGGTTCTACAAACACTTCACTAAAATCGGTACTGATAGACAGGCGATATTAATAACCCTGCATATGTGCCATAGTGTCTTAATTGCAGTACAGTTGGTGAAAGTATCGTTTGAAATAACAATAACATATCATTAGTCTTGATACTACTATTAAACATCCGCCCATATTATAAAAATAAGTACTTGTAAAAAAAGGCACGTACAATATTTGCATATAATAAGCCAATAAACAAACCTGAGTTCTTGGAATCAACATTTAAGATAAGCTGAACGTTTTCTTCCTAGAAGATTGAAATAGACTTGAAATGAGTTATTACTGATGTGAAAAAGTTAAGGACATGAAAGATTGAAAAAAATGGGGATGACTAATTGAAAGTTTATTTTCTGTTTGAATGAACGTAACCATTACAAATGGATGGAATAGATATTTAAGGAGAAACCGACGGTGATTTCATTCCAATTCAAAATTATTCATTGAAACTAGGAATACATTATCAAGGGTATAAAATAAACAGTAATTTCGTATTAATAATACTTGATTCCAAGTCAGTTAGTCAGTCAGCTATAACGTAGGACCAGGCACATATGTGCAACTAGTTAAAATGACAGACGATCCCGGTATCCTAGAGGCTCTTACTTGGAATAAGTTGTTGATTTATAAAGGATTATCATTCGACGGTGTTTCGGTGGATAAGACGTTATTATATAACAAAAGATGGAAAGAAGCTCAAAGATTAGCTACCGCATTCTGGAATAGATGGATGAAAGAGTATTTACCGACTCTTCAAACAAGAGAAAAATGGTTGAACGTACACAAGAACTTACAACCGGGTGACCTAGTTCTTGTTAGTAACGTCGAAACGAGTAGAGGTCTATGGCCTAAAGCTATTGTTGAACAAGTAAGCTATGGTCCTGACGGCCGAGTTCGTACGGCGAAGTTGAGAACCGCAAACGAAGAAATTGTTCGAGATGTACGAAGCTTATGTCTGCTGGAAGAAGCCGGCTATCTAACGGCAACGACGACTCAGAACAATGGACGTGGTGCGCGTTTCGGGGGGAGTGTAAAATGTGATCGATAAATGAACGCACCAATGATAAGGTGAAACGCCCACCACCATGTTAACTTTCCTTGACCTTGTATGACTTTACCTTTTTCTATCCACCAATCATAATTTTATGTTCATTACGAAACAATATTCGCTTTGTTGACTCATTTTTCCTATTCTCTGATTACTGTTCGGTACGTTAATCATGTCTCTGTTTTCCCTACGTTAATAGACTGTACTGTTTATTTTGTATACTAACGGTGTGTAATTTATTGTTTTAGAAACAGATAAAGTTTATCAGGCCAAATAGCTTACTTGTTATGACTTTGGCTAAAGCAAGACTCTGTATTCGACAGTTTAGAGAATAGCTTAGTTAACCTGTAGGAAATTGTTTCCTACAAAGTTTGTTTCTAAAACAATAAATTACACACCGTTAGTATACAAAATAAACAGTACAGTCTATTAACGTAGGGAAAACAGAGACATGATTAACGTACCGAACAGTAATCAGAGAATAGGAAAAATGAGTCAACAAAGCGAATATTGTTTCGTAATGAACATAAAATTATGATTGGTGGATAGAAAAAGGTAAAGTCATACAAGGTCAAGGAAAGTTAACATGGTGGTGGGCGTTTCACCTTATCATTGGTGCGTTCATTTATCGATCACATTTTACACTCCCCCCGAAACGCGCACCACGTCCATTGTTCTGAGTCGTCGTTGCCGTTAGATAGCCGGCTTCTTCCAGCAGACATAAGCTTCGTACATCTCGAACAATTTCTTCGTTTGCGGTTCTCAACTTCGCCGTACGAACTCGGCCGTCAGGACCATAGCTTACTTGTTCAACAATAGCTTTAGGCCATAGACCTCTACTCGTTTCGACGTTACTAACAAGAACTAGGTCACCCGGTTGTAAGTTCTTGTGTACGTTCAACCATTTTTCTCTTGTTTGAAGAGTCGGTAAATACTCTTTCATCCATCTATTCCAGAATGCGGTAGCTAATCTTTGAGCTTCTTTCCATCTTTTGTTATATAATAACGTCTTATCCACCGAAACACCGTCGAATGATAATCCTTTATAAATCAACAACTTATTCCAAGTAAGAGCCTCTAGGATACCGGGATCGTCTGTCATTTTAACTAGAGGTCTATTATTTAGTATCCTTCCTGCCTCGGTCAAGAACGCTTGTAGAGCTCCATCGATCAACACGTTTTGAAATAAAGGCACTCTTGGAATTCTTCTAATTGATCTTATGATGTGTTCCCGCACACCACAACCTCTCTCAAAAGGGACATTTGCTATCTTATTCTGATTGCAACTACACTTGATCTGTCTGAGAATAGTATTGGTTCCTGTAAAGCTACCAGATGAACACTTAGTCTTATTCACAACTCGTACAAGAGCGCCTTTCTCGACACCATCCTCGATACCAAGGCGAATATGTGCTGTATGCTTCTTCAGAGTCTTAGTTACTGGTTTCTTTGTTACAGTGGCCTTCGGTCCTTTTGTAGTCTTGACTTTCAGTTTGGTGTCCGTCTCTTCCTTAGGCTTTCCTCGAGTTGATTTGGGTTTATTAGCACATAGTGCTTCACTTTTTGGCTTAAAAACCTTGTACTTGGTTAATAAAAAGGAGCAATGAACTTGACGAGAGACAGTTTCGGAACGAGCATACTCCGCAACACCACATGCAGATTCTGAGGCATCGGTGGAGCAATGAGTCTGACTAGCCAGTGGTTTGTACGATTCTGGTGACGCTATGCGATCTTCCACAGATATCGATGAAGTACGACTAAATGGGTCTTTGAATTCAGTTGAATGCAATTGTTCAAACTTATCTTCTAATTCCTCCTTAGCCGAGAGGTAATTCGGTACACAGTTGCTTGCACGGGGTTCTCTGTAAGGGCCGAACAGCGTCCAACCCAATATAGTCCTCACAGCAGACGGTTCATTCGTCTTTCCGGTTCTTATCTCTTTCATCTCATGTATGCCCGGTGCATTGCACCCAATCAACAGTTTGACGTTCTCATCTTCTACTCTCGGAAAACTTATGTCTTTTAGATGGGGCCAGGATGCCATTTGATGCGCCGTTGGTACAGTCCTGTAAACTGCCGGCAATTTGTTGACTGTCAATACTTTCTGGACCTTAACGGATGAAGAAAAATCCATCGAGTGCAACTCTATATCGACTTCTTTGGATACCAACGACGATTCATCACTAAGAGTCTTTAAAGATACCGTTTTCGGTTTCCCTTCGAGGCCTAACTTATCAGCTAGATCACCAACTATGAGGGAGGTGTCTGACCCGCTATCTAGAAAGGCGCAAGTCTGAATAATCTTCTCACCATTTTTTATCCACACAGGCACTACTGCAAATGCTACTGGTCTCTGTATACACTTAACGCCTTCCTCCGTACAAAGCTGAGTATTAATGTAGGCATCACCATTAGTATTTCTTTGTTCTTCCCGCTTCTCGTGTAACAGAGTATGGTGTCTCCAGCCGCACCCTTCAACATCACACGACTTCGGTGATCGACAATTTTTCGCTACGTGGTTTGCCTTCAGACAAACATTACATAACTTGTGTCTAAGGACGAATTCTTTCCTTTCTCTAACATTCTTGTCTTTAAACTTTTGACATTGATCTAAAGAATGATTACTTGAGCACTCCAAACAGGACAAACTACGTAAGGCAACATTGTCATCACTAGTACTCGCGTAAGATATCCTTGCTGCATTGTAATCTCCGCTAATTCTCCCTTTTAAAACACCAACATCTCTATTGTCACTATTACTACCGCGGTTGACAAGTAGGCCGTATCTAGTATTAGCTATATCAGCTTGTTCCTTTACAAACTCAACAAGATCGGCAAACACAGGCTCTCGACCTCCTCTGATAATCTTATAAGCTACCTTTAGCCACTCTAGTTGAATGTGCGTTGGTAATTTCAGAACCATAGTTTCGATAGTTCTAGAAGAGTTCAAATCAGAAACGTAATTCATCTGTTCGAGAGTCAAACCACATGCTTGCATTTCTCGAGACAGTCTTCTCAAACCATCTGGTTGATTCCTTCTTATAATGGGAAAGTTTAGCAAGTTGTCGATAAACGTGCGTGCTATAACGTGTTTTTGGCCAAACGTTTCCTCTAAAAGTTTTAGGGCTTGACGATAACCTATCTCTGGTTCTAGTATAGTACAATGAAGGATAGCGGCTTTCGCTTCTCCGTCGCAATATTGAATCAAGTAATTTAGCTTAGCTCTAAATCCAATACTCTCATTCCCAATGCATTCTTCGAAGTTTCTAATGAAATTCCAATAATTTGTCGGTGTACCATCAAATCTTAAGACTTCTCTTTTTGGTAAATACAGGTTTTTTAATATTGTATTCTCACTGTTGTCATAACCTCATTAGCACAACAAGATGAACACCGAATTCATAGAAGTAGTTACTTGGTTCCAAGTAACAAGCAAGTTACACTAAACAAATGTGGTCTTTTTCGGTAGTATATATAGAGCTTCAAGCGACTCATCCACTGAGCAACATACATATATGAATCAACTTTTGTAAGAAATCTAACTACTGAGCACTAATGCAATGATCAGGGAACAAGAAACGTGATTAAAGCAGCGAGTGAAATGTCATCGTCTATTATTCCTTGTCCAGTGAGCTTTAGCAATGTAGATTTAAGAATTCATATCATGAAAAATCCGTAGTATTTATAAATATATTTGAAAATATCTTATAATTTAACAACAATTGACTACCCAATACACCGTTTGACAAAGTAGTTTTTCGTATACAAGACTTCCAACAACCAATTGTAGAATGAAGTTTTCTTGACTGAGTTTGCGAAACAGCTGTTAAATCTGTACTTATAGTGTACTGAAAATGAAGACATCTAGAAAGCGCAGAAAATATGCAAAACCTGGTCTCTCCAACACTAATACGTAATTGTGAATGATTAGTGAGAAAGGTTACATATCAACAACAATATTTAACATCACAAATTTTTCATTGAGAACCATAACAAATAAAGATGCTTCTGGACACATTCAAGAAAGCTTACTTTATTTAGAGTTAAATCTGTATGCTGTTCTGACATTTGTCCACTGATCTTAGTGAATGATCCTTCTGATGAATACTGATAAGAATTAAAGCTATTTGAACTGGAATCATTCATATTAGACCAATAAGTTGTCTCTGAAATCCATGAGGGATCAATAACGGAACATTGTGACAAACCACTACGTAACATATCTGTTGAAGCATACGATAACAGAAATATTAATTAGAGAGATAAATTCATGATAAAATCAACAGCAGAGAGTAAAATGTCAAATATATCAACCTCAGCTGTTCTCTAAGAGCAAGAATTGACTGGCAAGCACCGTAATAATAGGTTAGACAAAATTTATTACTTTTTTTATTTTAACACATAGATATCGGTACAAGGAGGCACCAAATACATATGCGCCACACGAATCTCATTGGATATGTGTGAGGGCTGTGATACTGCCCGAGTGCCCAAACCGAAGCAGGTGGTTTTCTTAGAGGGCCACACCCCGAGCATTCGACCTGAACGTCTGACCCACAAGGCAGTGGAGCATCGTAAGGAGATGCAGTCTCATGGTAGCCGGTGACCAACGATTGGTTCATACGCCATTTGTTCCTTCAGGATACTGGAGCCCATGTGCACCATTGGTTTGAAATCCGGTTAAAGCGCCGGACATTCGCTTTTCGTCCTCTCATTTTCGTAAACAACACCCCCGCCATGAGAAGGCAGTGAGTAGGACTTCCCTGGCAGAGGCTATATACGCGTGATCATGTGAGAGACAAAATTACCAATATGCATATATATATATATATATATATATATATATATATATATATATATATATATATATATATATATATATATATATATATAGCAGCAAAATGTCTTATCTTTGTTTAACATAATTTCCTCTGATATAAAATAATTCAGTTACATATGCATTAGAGTTTGATTTACAGTTTTTTCTGGTTTCTCTTCGGGTGGAAAATAATACACAAATTACAATCATATGAAACTTGGGGGAAGGAGATTAGTGCATTTATAGCATTATGTTTTGAACTCATTGCATAGATCAAACCGTCTTTCTGGATACGCATCTGAGTTCGCTGTCAAAAACATCTTTTTATTTTTCAGGGCTATATTCTTTAAGTTAAATTAGCCAATTTAAAAACCTTGGTTTTTGTTAGTTCATGGCTTGTCAATGTATATGTCAAGATAATTTATAATACTATCAAATCATCAAGAAACTTAGCAGTAAATTTGATTACTTAAACTATAATTAAAATTATATTGTGAAATTACATATCTTTATGAATGTTTACACTTTCAAATAAGTCATGATTAGAAATTGTATGATAGACACAAATCGTTACAAGAAATAAATAACATAAATTTGATTACCTGGATACAAACTGAGTAAAGTTAACATCCAATTTGATACAGTTCCGCCAGAATCTCCCGTAAATAAAATACGTCTTTCCAATAAAAGTAATTTGAATAGACATAATGCGTCACGTTTGTAAACGCGAACAAAATTGGACGCACTTAGATTATAAAATAGTGCATCTATGGAGACGTTGAAATAGAAAACAAAAAATAGAACAGTTAATTAGATTATAAAATAGAAATAAGAGAAAAATTTAAGTTTTCACTAATGTATGACAATCTTGAAAAAAGGTAGTTACGACATGTGAATAACTGATAAAAAAATAATTTTTGAAAATGTAACGAAACTTTTATTTATAATAATAAGTGTTCTATAAAACTTTTGTTGTGAATTATGCAAATATTCGCTGAACTACTAACTCAGATTAGTCAGCATACTCGGAAATAGTAATTTATAGAGAAATCCTCCAGCTTCAAGTTAAAATCAGTTATTAGAAAAAAGTTAATTTGGGCTAGAATGGTAGCTACTAAATTTATCAGAGCAACGAAAACAAGTTTGATCTTTACAACGATAGATATACAAAAGGCTAACCTGGAACGGGTAGTCATAAGAACTCCCAGAGTTGGATGCTGCTGTGTAGGAATGTCAATCACGCCACAGTTCCCCGACCAAGTCTATTGATAGCAACCTGAAACCAAAATGTCAAGTTCCACGTACTCACGAAATTCCGAAGACTTATTCATGAACAGTGAATTCAGGTAAGATAAAGTTGAAGAGATATTTAAAAAACAGACTATCTAAATCTTTCAGAAAGATGTTTTTTGTACTGAAAACCACATTCGGGGAAGTTTCAAGGACAAACGGTTCCACCGTGCCGTTTCACTGTGCATTTATCACTTACTTTCATGGAACAGGTTATGTTAGTTACATAAACTTGCACTTAGCAAATATTCTTGCACTAATCTGTAAAAATATCTAAAGGGCAATGAAAATTGAATAACGGTTCAATCAATGAACACATGACCACCTCTGATTACACACCATCACAAGAAGTGTCGTTTAAAATCATCTAAGAACTTAAAGAAACTGGTTCGAAAGTTTGGACGAAGATTTGTGGATGAGAATTCATCATTTCAAACCCAAACTCTCTGCACAAAAGAGTCATCTTCAACTCATTCTTCTTTCATAACCTCACCACCCCTCTTAATTTTACTAATAGAAAGTGCCAAGTTTTATCTTATTCTTCACTTTTTTTCCTCGTATATGAGATGATTATTGTGTAAATTACTATTTCATAATAAATCTGAAACTTGCACAGCTTAACATTTTAATAACTTGAATACTTTACTATATGATGCAATATCCATTTTATTCAACGCCTGAAAACTCGACAAGTTTAATTATTTCGAAATAACACCAATTTATTTATAGGTTATTACATTTTATACTTGAAATCTTAAGAAAGTTTATTAAATGAGGAATACCACTTTATGTTTACAGACTTTTACAGTCAATAATTGGATTAGTTTGATAATTTCGAAGCACACCCTACTTTAGAATACTCCATGAACACTTAGAGAAAGATTGATTTTGATCAAAGTAACAATTAGGTAGGGTATGTTTTTGATAAAGTGTAATAGTATGCATTTTGTGATGAGACTAACAACTGTTTATTGCTTTATGAAATTTGTACACGGACATTTTACCAGAAGTTTTGGAGTCTTCATCAGTACAAAACTTCTATCTCCTACTATTCAACCAAGTGTAATTCTAACACATAACCTTGATATGCAAATCAGAAACCAGAATACGAATTATGGGACCAAATTTATTGTCTGCTTAGTGTATTACAATGACTCTATGATTAACAAAAATGATATATAAACTTTGCTAAACACTTTAGATTAATGGTTACTAAGTCAAATAATTTGTTAACGGGTTGATTTTTTTAAAGTAGTGCTTTCATTGTGGATCGGTATATTCTGTGTCAAAAAGCTATTTTGTGAACCAATCATAACAGAGCTTCGAAAGTCAGTTACTAGAAAAAAATTAGTTGAAAATTAAGCACACTATATAACCATACCTTGGTAAGAAACTGGATCACCTAAAACATTGTCTACAAAATGACTTAATTGTTCATATGAGTTCTGGAGACTTTCTGGGGTAAAACCTTTGCTTTTGAACAGATTATCAATTATTGTCGTAAGATGATGGGCGATGAAACTAAAAAGTGGCTAAAGAAAAGAGAAAATAAAAGTGGAAATATTTACAAATTACAAATAGTAATATATTGTAATTAAATATGCCCCTGGATGATATTGACGGTTGGACGGAACCGACGTTAATCGAAAGGTTTTATTACTGTAAATCACTTGTATTTAAAGTTAAGTGATGTGAGATATATAATGAGCATATAACTTGCAGGGGAATAGTTTAGATCATGAAGTCTTTTATATAACACCAAGTATCATTATTGGTATCTGAGTAATGTAAAGATTCAGAACACGTTTTCGCGATACATGTACAAAGGTGCGAAACGTCCAACACGTTAACATCCATTAGAAATGTTGTTTACTTGAGTTTAGGATGAATAGAGGTTGATTATCAAGGACAATTGGAAAAAACTCATATCTAATCGGAGAAATTACACGTTAGAAAATGAGATAACTAAAAACGTTAAGAAATAAAATTATTCAATTCAAGAATTACGTTGTTTACAACGCGTTCCTGTATTGAATAGGTTATCTACTTTTAAGTCCCTCTAAATTAAGACTGATGATAAATATAAAAAAGGTGTGTTTGTACGATTAACCAAGATCAAGTGGGTCACTCTCATCAAAATCACTTATTATTTTGAAGAACAGGTCGTACTGCACTGAAATGTGGGGAGAAGTAAAAAATTGAACATAAGAACAATAAATCGTATAATAATAATCTATAGGTGGAAATAAAGCCTAAAATATAAAGAATATAGATAATCATGATCTATTTACTGAATAGTATTAAAATAAGGACATATGTAATATCAGTCCATTATTAATTCCCAGAGGTTATTCGTAATTTAATCTTCACTAGGATATAACATTTACTTCACTTACTTCCCTTACTAATCACGTAGCTATAACGAAGGACCAGGCACATATACGCATCGGCTCAAGTTGCCACACCTCATAAGCACAACAAGATGAACACCACATTCATAGAAGTAATCACGTATAAGAATATAATACAGAAAGAAAGAATTACTCGGTAGAAAGAAAGATATATAGTAATTTTAATCCGACGATTTGAGGGAAGACAGAGAGTGTATACACCTACGCCCATGTCACTCAGAGTCTCTGACCACTGGTTACTGTAGTCGGGCGGAACCCAACCTATTAGTCTGCATCTGCCAACATGGCTCAGATCAAAAGTTAATGATGCCACGTTTTGTTTTGTCCGCCCCTAACTTTCTTCCAACCATTCACAACACCAGTTTGCATTGCGGGTTGTGGTAATCGGTGTTCAGGCATACGCAACACGTGGCCCAACCATCTCAGACGATGAAGATTCACAACCATATCAACTGATTTACCATCATTCCGTAATACACTGCGTCTAACCTCAATATTTCTAAGACAACTGTGGTCAAATATTAGTAGCTTACGAATATTTTCTACTCTTAATGGCCACGTTTCGCAGCCGTGAAGTAGAACAGAACAAACTGCCGCGCAGTATACTCGTCCTTAATTGATAGACGGATATCTCGTCTGCGCCATGGGTGACCTAAGTTGGCAAAAGCCAAACGAGCTTTTCGAACCGGTGCAAAGATTTCGTCAGACACCAACCTACCAGGGCTGATCAGACTTCCGAGATAAGTGAAGTTGTCGACGCATCCGACTACTACTACCACGACGCGCAATGCTAACCAGTGTTAGGGATAACTGGAATAAAGTTAGAGGCGGCCATACCAAAATGTGGCATCAGTGCTTGAAGTCACTAACTTCTGGTCTGAGCCATGTTGGTAGATTCAGACTGCCTGGTTGGGATCCGCGTGACCATCGCAACCAATGATTGGAGACTCTTGGTGACATGGCTCAGAATCGATCACAATGGCGTGGGTGTATACACTCTCTGTCTTCCTTTAAACTAAGAGATTAAAATCACTTCAAATCTTTCTTTCTAGAAACTAATTCCTTCTTCCTGTACTATCTCCTTATATGCAATCATTCTTCGATATATTACCACCACTGAATTAACTACTTCTATGAATACGGTGTTCATCTTGTTGTGCTAATGCGGTATGGCAACTTGGAGCGATGCATATATGTGCCTGACCATACGTTGCGGCTGATTGACTATCTATATTTCAGGTGTTGAAGCAGACCAGTTCTGAAACAACAATCTGCATTTACAGAGGGAACGAATTGAGAGAAATTTCTTTTCAATTGGTTTTTCATCATGGCTCTACACTAATTTATATATATATATATATATATATATATATATATATATATATATATATATAATGTTTTTGCAGCCAAACTGAATGCTATCTTCTACAACTACCCCAAAATGAGAACGACTAATAAAGACAGACTGCCTGATTTCGCCAGTTACATAGGGCGTACAATTCGGCAAGTTCGTCGCCGTATTACAGAACATCATCCGTCGTGGTTAAATAAAGGACAGGTAAAAGTAATTAAAAGTTCTATTCTCGCTCATTTGGTTGACACACAGGTCACCAAGTTGAATTGAATAAAGCTTTTCAGCTTATCTACCATATCCCATCAAATTTACCACATGGTTTACGAGTGCGCCTTTTGCACATTGAGGAAGCCATTGCAATCCATGTTTACAAACCTGACCTTTGCATTCAAAAGAAATTTGTTTAACCACTCTCGCTGCCTTAGACATCGGTACAAGATTCCCTTCAACAGAACTATTTTCCATACTTCTCACACTTGTGTTTTTTTAGTTTTTAACTTTGTTCTTGTTTTTTTTAACTTTATAATTTCTCAACATTCACCTCTTGATTCTCACGTAAATACTATTCTATTGACCATCCATTACAAATTTTGTTCCTTCTTTTTCATATATTATACAACGTAGAAACTTCTTGATTTAATAATTACTTTGGATATTATTAATCATCTTTCTTCCAACTACTCAATGTTAATTTAAATGTCATTATATAATTATTACGTAACGTATCCACTCAATGAGTATTATATCATTATTGATATATATATATATATATATATATATATATATATATATTAGTGTAGAGCCATGATGAAAAACTAAGTGAAGAGAAATTTCTTCGCTCAATTCGTTCCTTCTGTATTTTCCAGACGTCCAAATGGGAATTTTCACTAAATTTGCATTTAGAAAGGGAGAAACGCATTCCAAACATCATAGCACCGTCTCTCAGTTCTAACAAAACATTCCGCGTTTTATCAGTGTTTTCACCAAACAGGATTATTATTGAAGCTAGTATTTTAGATGCTACATTAGTCAAACTAATCCCTACATGGTTATCAAAGGATGATTTTGACCCATTCTTACATATTGGGGTAATAAATGATTGCGGCCAGTCAGATGGGACTATGTCCAACTCCCAAATTTTAGTTAAAATATTAAACCTAATCGCTAAAACTGGACCACCATACTTAAAAACCTTTGAAGCCAATTCATCTGGACCAGTTGCTCTTCCTCGTTTCAGATTATCTATAGCTTTTTGAACTCCAATTAGAGTCGGGGGGCCTACTTCAATGTTTCATTCAGGCTGTTTGGGAATAGTGGGCAGATATAGAGTAGCTGAAGGCTAGCTGAACTGCTCCTTAAAGTGTTCCGCCCATCTTTCTAAACGTCTAGGCTGAGTAGATATGTATAGGCTTTTTCCAAGATCGTCTCACTTACACTCACTTTACTTATCAAGGTTTCCTCGATAGCTTGATTTACATCAAATGCAACTAACATAAATAATTGGAGCTTATGAAATAATGTTTATCGCCTTGTAAAACAGCGCTCCAAAACACATGTTGAGATTATTAATATCTGAAATCTGTGTGGTCAGAAGCCAAGATCTAATAATCAAAACTCTGTGATGCAGTGACATAGATGTACACTACCTCCTAAATCCATTTAGATTTACCTTAACAGAACATGGAATCCATAGGATAGATCAATTTCGTATTTCGCGACTCGACAGCCAATCTTCATGTATGCATAAAATTGATTGTGAAAGAAAACTGATTTTTTAAATATTTGAGTAAAAACTGGTAATGAGAAGGATATACACTATCTATTAATAGTTTCTACTTCAAAAAATATAAAAGTAGAGTTTCACTGTAAACCAACAACAAGGACATCAAAGTATATTTTGCAATACTCTGAAGTGAACTAATGTTTTTCATAGTATATAGTTTAAAAATAATTATAAACAGTCTTAAACTTATGCGTATTGAGACAATTGAAGTGATAACGGCCAAGGTCAATCCAAACATATTTATGGGCTACTGTCATTCGCTATCAATAAATACTTACAAGTGCTACAGTAAGAGTAAGAATCAGAACACAGAAAACAAAAAATATGAGTATTCCAAAGATAAAAAATATACTTTAGTTTGGTTGTCAAGATTGTATTTAGTTCGAAACCTAAAAATGGATTTAAGTGGAAACTATATTTGTCTAAAACGACTACAAATGAAAACACACAATAGGGATTATTGCATACTACTTACAAATCTCGATAGTACAACCAAGCTTTTCTGTACAGTGTTTCGAGTGATTTCAGGATTAGGTTGAACATATGACTAAAAATGAAAAATGCAGTTAAAATTCGTAAACTTTTCGCTTCATGGTGATAATAAGAAATAAGTAATTAATGGAGAGTGATATTTGCTCAAAGCAAATCGTTTCAACGTAAACTATTTTAAAGACAGATGTACCTTTAAAATGGAGCCTGGTCGAAACTCGCATATATATATATATATATATATATATATATATATATATATATATATATATATATATATATATATATATATATATGATAGGATATCAAATCAGAGTTACAACTAAACGACTGGTTTTTTATAACTTGACATTTTTATAGCACGCAATGATAGGAAAAAGTGGTAAATAGCCACTGGTCGGAGAAATCATCGATAACCGAGGAAAAGAGAAAAGTCACACAAAAACAACTGGTCCAGATATATTAATCATTCTTCAATAACGGTGATTTGAGACTAGCTTAAAACATCTCGATCTGTAAGATGTACAGTAAAAAAGTGGTTAATAATCTAGTTAATTATGCGTGAATAATACTGACAATTCATTTTATTCATATCATTTATTATTTATTTATTAATTTTAACACATAGGTATAGGGACAGGAAGGCACCAAATACATATGCGCCACACGAATCTCAATTGATTTGTGTGAGGGCTGTGATACTACCCGGGTGCCCAAACCGAAGCAGGTGGTTTTCTTAGAGGGCCACACCCCGAGCATTCGACCTGAACGTCCGACTCACAAGGCAGTGGAGCATCGTAAGGAGATGCAGTCTCATGGTAGCCGGTGACCAACGATTGGTTCATACGCCATTTGTTCCTTCAGGATACTGGAGCCCATGTGCACCATTGGTTTGGGATCCGGTTAAAGCGCCGGACTTTCGCTTTTCGTCCTCTCATTTTCGTAAACAACACCCCCGCCATGAGAAGGCAGTGAGTAGGACTTCCCTGGCAGAGGCTGTATACACGTGGCCATGTGAGAGCATTGTGAGAGGGAGAGCGGACTCTTCCCACTCTCGGCCGTACCAGGGCATTTGGGGGCATGCGGAGATAGGTGGGTAGTGTTATGTTTTATGACCCGTCAAATATCACGTGACAAAATCTCCAATCAGTATACCGACTTGTCCCTGCGCTGAACCAAAGATGCGCTAACCAGCACTAGCAGACTTGAGTCAACTCTGAGTCTTTATTGGTCCTTCGTATAGTAACTTTTCGCCTAGCCTAGCCCGTTTATTCCACAACATTAATATCAGCCACTTTTGTGGGAATTGTATCTTTCAGACACATGGTTTATATGTAAACAGACCAGATCGCATAACACTATAAAATGAAAAGTAGTGATTATATAGGATCAAGCCAAAAGATGCTGTGATTATGGGACTGTAACTAATAGATATAAATTGGGAATGGCAAATCATATAACGATAACCAATAGGTCAAATAAAAGCTTATGATATATATATATATATATATATATATATATATATATATATATAATCTAGTTACTTAACAATTATTTGAGATAATAATACAAAAATAATTCCTAGAAGTTACTATTCACTCATTTTTTAGCCAAAGACAACAATAAATAAAAGTGGACGAAAGCAGAATATAATTGAAGAAACAGGTGCCCCCAAATGCCATGGTACGGCCGAGAGTGGGAAGAGTCCGCTCTCCCTCTCACAATGCTCTCACATGGCCACGTGTATACAGCCTCTGCCAGGGAAGTCCTACTCACTGCCTTCTCGTGGCGGGGGTGTTGTTTACAAAAATGAGAGGACGAAAAGCGAATGTTCGGTACTTTAACCGGATCCCAAATCAATGGTGCATATGGGCTCCAGTATCCTGAAGGAACAAATGGCGTATGAACCAATCGTTGGTCACCGGCTACCATGAGACTGCATCTCCTTACGATGCTCCACTGCCTTGTGAGTCGGACGTTCAGGTCGAATGCTCGGGGTGTGGCCCTCTAAGAAAACCACCTGCTTCGGTTTGGGCACCCGGGTAGTATCACAGCCCTCACACAAATCAATTGAGATTCGTGTGGCGCATATGTATTGGGTGCCCCTTTGTACTAATATTTGTGTCTCAAGCCGCTGTGCTGCACTTTTACGAACACCAATCACGGAGTCGTGAAGGACCAACAGACGCCAGTTCTTTACAGCTTGTTTTTGTATTGCGGCAATCATAAAATAACCTTCTCTCAGCCTTCTCCAACGTGCCTCGTCCCAGTATAGAATTCACAAGGGCAACATTCATAGTATATGTCCAAGCCACCGAAGTCGATGTTTCAAGATGGTGACACCAACTAAATTATCGCTACCGTGCTTAAACACACGTTTCCGAACCTCCACATTACGAACAAGGTGTTGGTGATATGTATCTGGTCTCTAAAATTTTATCAGGCCAACCTTTGCGTATCTTTGAGATAGGCTGAAACTATTTTGTTATTAAATATATGGCACACAGATATTAATCTTATAAATACAATACAATTTTACGAGTGCAATGTTGCGAGCACATAAAATATTTTAGCTTAATGACACAAATAATTGCGAGCACTTTTCCCAAACACACAGACAACTTATACTCGAGCAGAGGAGCAAGACGACTGACGAATTTATTCAAAGAGTACGTATAGATAGCTCTGGATATGGTGTACTGATATATAAGTGGAGAAAGCATCTACACGAAGAACCCGAACAGTAATTTAGTTCACGGCATTTATGTTCAAAAATTGTGCGCCAGTATGAGCCACATCAAATATCCAAATATTAATAGAGTAATTATTAGTCTGGACGCCCGGACAGAAAGCCTCAGACGATGATACTGGGAGATCTACAGAAATTTTTAGTTTACCGGACGATCTGAATAACATCACGGTAGGTTGATACTTTTACAAAATATATTTCTGTCAACTGTGCAGCACTGTTTCATAAGGATTCTCTAAAAATTAATTCATGACATTTGAATAAACTGAAATATCTACAAAGGAGCAGTGATATCAGTTGTAACCGCATGATGGAATGTATTCTTCGACAAAGTATTGCTAGGTAATGCAATCACTCGTCAAAAAGTATAAAAACTTACAGCCGAGTCTGCCTGGCGGTAACAAGCAATACCAAAGACAGTGTCATCTTCCTTTTCCATTGAAGGCAGGCTGAAATACGTGCAATCTGAATACATTAACCAATTATGTTCGTGACCGACCTTTTGTGTAGTTATGGGCTCCATCGGCTATTGCTAAAGCAGGCAAATGACGCCATGGATGAGGGAGATGTGTAGGATCAGAACTATCATGTGACAGTGAGGGATAGACTAGCTCAACCTTGTAAAATCAAGCTTGTTTAAAAAGTAAACCACTTACAACAGATCCCTTCCTGTGATGAAAGCCAATCAGAACTAAATGTAAAATGCTGTTAGAACTCTGCATCCCTCAAGGTTACATCTCAAAGAGAGCGCTACCAACTGAAAACAACCTAACGTTCACTTAAATTCCTGACGTTTGAACTAACAACCTAAATAGGTGAATTTACCAGCATTTCATTTTTCAGAGGTTATATCTATTAAATATTACCTTTCTATTTGATTGCTTTCATGATTTTGTAGCCGAATTCGTGGAAATCAATGGATGACCAATAAGCAGTTTTGACAACAATATTTGGCTGTGTAACGATACGTGACGGAAAAAACAGTTCATTTATAAATGCCACACATATCTGACATTAATAATGAACACATATACGAACCTTTGAGGTTTTCATCAAAAACTACCACTTTGTAATACAAAAATTAACTGTCCATATTCTTCAATCCAACCGTTAATCTTTTTTAATTTTTCGTTAATGGGATCCCTGATCTCAGTGTATTTCGCACATCGAAGTCTTCAGTCTCATAAACCAAAGATATCCCAGATATTCAAAGCTTGATAGCGCGTTTTCTCCTAGCACTCTTGTAGTCGAGCGTCTGAAAGCTAGTCAATGCAGAAGCCAGGACTGTAAGGGTTCAAAGATATATTTGAAAGGAAGTTGTCGTGTTAGGAATTAGGCATGAAAATAACATAGATCTTAGGAGTTGTTGCAGAAGTCGTTGGAGCTTTACTTTTAAAGTTAAAATTTTATCCATGGTAAATCACTGAACTAAATGGCAGAATGACACTATAAACTGAGAATCGATTTCTTGATGAATAGCACTTGTAACATTGGTGCTGTGTTGCAATTTGTTGTTTTTAAAGTCTTGTAATAATTCAAACTTTATCTGAATCATTTCGATTGTCCAAAATTATCACTATCACCTGTGAGGTGACTTCAACGTTCATCTAATACTCAGAATAATGTCATAACTGATGGATGGCTCAGAGTGAAGATAATTGTGTTCTTCCATTGTATTTGACCACGTTAAACTCATATTATCGCTAAACGTTCCAATGCTGTGAAACAACTGAGTGGTATTTGACACAAAGTCATGAAAGAGTGAGTTTCTGAAGACAATATGTATTTTCTAACGATGATGAGGTTGATGTCAATAAGGCTTGAGCTTCCAAGTTAGCATTTTACTTTAGCTAATAAAAAAGAAAGATTATGGCCTACAGTACTGAAGTCTAAGATTCCAATTATGACCACGAATTTATCAGTGTGTGCTGTGGCGTCGAGTCGCGGTTGACTATGAACACCACTACAAGAAGAGCGCTAACCAGACAAATCAAAAGGCGAAGAAGGTTGGCAACCAGATTTATTCGTTGGCGATCTCGTGGTATCGAGCGAATACCGAGATCGTGCCAAAAGAAATACAAGCAAAATTAGTGGGTAGAAGAACGTGCACACAAGGTCACAGTCCGTGGAATAATAATAGAGGATAATGAAAGAGCACAATGGCTGTCATCAAACCAGTTAAAAAAACGAGCACGGTAAAACAGTCACTGGTACAATTGGTTATAATAATAATTGTTTTCATTGAACCAATCGCGTTCTGTTGACAAAAGTAGGTCACTACATAAGTCCCCCCGCTAGAAAGAGTTTGCACTTTCGATAGGTAGTGGTTTGGTTCATGGGACTGATCATCAAACGTGCGATTGTCGGGCGGAAGAATCGGCAAAGCAGGAAGCGATCGTTGATCCTCGAGTTGCCAACGAAAGTTCTTCCACGTAGAACGGTACCAGTGGAAGCGTGCTGTATTTGTTGCTCGAGTTAGCATACCACACCAGAGTGGTTTGTATCCAGGATCCGAAGATTGCGTTCGTAGGGGTGCGGACCAAGGAACGTTGCAGACGTAGGACGAAACCACGTTGAGCCAAGAAACCAGAAACGACCATGACGACTTAACGCGAAACCAAGCGTATGCCAGACAAATTCGAAATCAGAATATCGACTGAGTGTGTTGACAAAAGCGTGAGCGATCAGGCCAGCTTTCGCCAAGGTTGGCTGAAATCAACGTTACCAAACGGGCGATGGTCGGAGGCGTGGGCTAAGGATGCATAAAAAAAATCAAAAAAGAGAAAGAAGAGTGTAGCATACATGTAGTACAGGAATAATCCTACACCGTATCCGTTGTTGACTGTGCGGTTAGTCGCGAGAGCGTACGGGTAAGCGTACTCGACGACCGGAACGTCAGACGGTAGTCTTGGTCGTACCTTGTGAGCCTGCAACCTCATCCGAGGTCAAGGGTGGCGTAGTCTGCTGATCTGGACGTGAGACGGGAGTCTCGTCCGTAGATGGTGCAGATGACGCATCCTGCTGACCGAGACGTGAGAACGAGGTCTCTGATGTATCTAGCGTGTGATACGAGATAGATGTAGAGATCCCGCTAGAAGGTTTGGTAGGTCTAGCATTGGGTCTTAAGTTATCAGGTAGGGCACTGTCATCGACGTGTGCTGGTTTGAGACGATCAATGCTGACGATCTCGACGCGGCCATGTCGATCAACCCTCAAGGTTTTTTCGTGACGAGAGATCACGTGAAAAGGTCCTTCGTAAGGCTGTTGTAAAGATTTGCGTAACGAATCTACCCGTATGAAAACATGTGAACAGGTAGATAACTCTCGAGGGAGAGCGAGCTGTCGATGTTGTATTCGAGTTGACAACGGAGACAGTGTTCGCATAAATGCAGACAGTCGATGACGTAGTCTGATTTACCGAAATCGTTACTGCTCGTGTTGTGAAAAATCCCCCAAGCAGACGCAATATCGTACCGTATACAAGTTCAGTGGTGGAACATTGGATATCTGCCTTCAAACTCGTCCTGATACCTAAGAGGAAGAGCGGTAAGGTTTTGCACGAATTGTTGTTTTCGTGTGCTCGAAGAGCAGGTCATCAATACAGACGTGAACAAAATCCAAGTCTCGTACAATGCTATCGATAAACCTTTGGAAAGTTTGAGCAGCATTCTGTAATCCAAATGGCATTCGTAGGAACTCAAACAGACCAAAAGGAATCGTGATAGCAGTTTTTTGATATCTTCAAGAGCGACTGGGATCTGGTGATGTGCTCGTACTAGGTCGATCTTAGAAAACATAGTCATGCCTTTGAGTGGTGCCGTGATATGATGTATGTGGGGGATGGGGTATCTATCAAAGCGCGTAACTACGTTTAATGCTCGGTAGTCACCGCATGGTCCCCAACTAGGCCCAACCTTTTTGTGAACCATGCGAAGAGATGAGGCCCAGGGACTGTGAGAAGGACGAATAATACCAGTAGACAGTAAATTGTCAAACTCACGTTTTGCAAAGGCTAATTTGTCCGGTTCTAGTCGGCGTGATCTTGCCGTGACTGGGGGTCCGCGGGTGACTATGTGGTGTACCACACGATTGGTCACCGATGAAATCTCCTCGAGTGGTCTAGTTATTCTGGGGAATTTCTCGAAAAGAGCGTGGAATTTATCATCACGCGAATAAAAGTGTCGAGGATTCGGTACGCGTTTGTGTGAGCTTTAAAGCCAATGAATTCGCTGTTCGATGAAGTATCGATTAGCTGCAGCCTACGTGAATCGACTAGCAATTCGTAGTGCTGTAGGAAAGCAATACCTAGTATGGCTGTGGAAATATTGGCAATGATGAATGTCCACAGATACCGTCGTCGGTTGACCGCGAGTTGTCGTGTACCGTAGGTAGGAATGGCTGAGCCATTCGCAGCACGTGGTCGAAGCGTTGTAGCTCGTGACTTGCTTCTACCAATGGGTACGACAGAAACTTAGTCATCCGTATCTACTAGGTACCTAGCGTTTGTGCGATAATCGTGCACGTAAAATAAACGGCTAACCTGAGGTGAAGAGCCTTAGAGTACGACCGCACTTACTCGCCGGCTTTGGAGTTTCCCGACTTGTATGGGCAGGGAGTTCGACAACGGCGGGAACCGGACCCGAAGGTACAGTGAAACCATCACCAACTTGTACTCGTTTCCGTAGCCACCTTTTGGCGTGGCTTGTGAGACGCTCGCGTTGGGCGAGTGGCTCTGGCTTTCCGAGAGCGTGATCTGGCTTGAGCGACGTAGGGTTCGAATATATCACAACGGTCTCGGAAGTTAAGATGTGTATGAATACGGCCGCCCCTATCACTTTGAGCCGGGAAGTGACTAGCGTCGATATCCACGTTCGAACGTGATGTTGAAACAACTACGTAATTGTCTCGGTTGCCAGTCCTTGCCAATATTTTGTCTACTATGAGGGCCACCTTGAGCAGGGCCGCGATGGTTGGTTGGATATGTGCTGATAACGACTCGAGCCATAGCTCTTTAACTATTTCAGAGTCGGCAGCTGTAGGTCGTGCAAGAGGTTGCAGGCGCGTGAGGTGATGACTTGGTTTAGCATCACCCAGAGGGTGACGTGCCAACAATGTCCTCAGTCGTTCCTCCCTCGATAGGAGGAAATGTCGAAGAATCGCCTCCTTGAGGCGGTCGTAGGCATTGGGGGCATTTGAATTAAGAACAACCTCACGTACAGCAACGATGTGGTCCCCGGGTAATGATTCAAGAGAGAAAGTGTACTTTTGCTTTTGGCTCGAAATGCGGCGAGTCTCAAATTGAGACTCCAATGCAGCAAACCAAACCTCTGGGTCATGGGGAATAAATGGTACAGGTCGAAAATAGATAGCCTGTACATCTGAGTCTGTAACATTAATGCTGCTTTTGTCGCTATCCGTCATGTCGAGTATGTCATATAATAAAAATTAATATGAAAATATACGACAGACGTGGATAGATTAGCCAGAGACTCACCGAATTGACTTTGGACGATTTGACCAGAGGTTGAGGCGTGTTCCGGGATTCGGCTCAACAATTGTAGCGTGGGGTCGAGTCGCGATAGACTATGAACATCACTACAAGAAGACTACGTGCCAGTTAACCAATACGATACCCGTAGGTCAATATCAGAAGGCAGATGATGGCTGTAGCCGAGATATATTTGCTGGCGATCTCGTAATATCGAAAGAATACCGAGATCGTGCTAAAGGACTACAAGCGTGGTTACTAAGCGTAACCGAATTCGTACAAGTTCAAAGTCAACGGGAGAGAGAGAGTAATGACTGTCATTAACACAGTTAAACAAACGAGCACAGTAAAACAATCATTGGTACAATTGGTTATAATAATAATTGTTTTCATTGAACCAATCGCGTTCTATTGACAAAAGTAGGTCACTACAAGTTCTAAAGTCGATAAACAGAGAAAATTCTCGGCCTTCCACAGAGTGTCAAAAGTGTCGTAGAGCAC